AAACAAAGAAAAAAGAACAGAACCAGTATACAAGAAAAAAAAAAAAAAAAAAAAAAAAACAAACAAACAAAGAAACGAAGAAAACAAGAAATCGATCCAGAACCAGAAAAGAAAAGAAGAAACCAAGAAAAAAAAAACAAGGATCAGAATCCTAGACAGAACCAGGAAAAGGAAAAACACCCAGAAATAAGAAAAAAAGAACAGAGGGGAACAAAAGGGAAACCCAAAATAAAAATAAAATAATAAAATAAAATAAAATAAATAAATAAAGAAACAAAATAACAGCAGAAGGAAAGAAGAAAGAGAAAACGAAAGAAAAAAAGGCGAGCCGACCATTACAACCGCGGTCCCCCCAACTGCCCCGCCCAGCGAAACTCGTAATCGGATCGTTTAACAAGACAAGATTTTTACTGCCCGCCGGCCCGTACAACCCGCCCGTTCACTGCACTCGGCGAGCTCTGACGCGAGGCGGGGAAATCTCATTTAGGCGGCTCGGCAAACCTGCGGTTCTCTCCTCTCTTCATTCTCGAGGCGTTTCTCTCTCTTCTCCCCCCCCGCCCCCTCCTTCTCTCTCTCTTCTCTTCTTCTCTCCTCTCTCTCTCTCTCTCTCTCCATCTCTCTCTCTCTCTCTCTCTCTCTCTCTTCTCTCCTCTCTCACTCTCTCTCTCGCTCTCTCTCTCTCCGTTTTTTCTTAATCCGTTTTTCGTTTTCATTCTTCTCTGGTCTATTCTCTCTCTTCCTACCTCCCTCTCGCTCTCATTTTCTCTCTCTCTCTCTCCCTCTCTATGTATCTCTTTCTATCTAAATCGTTTTTTCCTTTCCCTCCCCCCCCCTGTTCCTCTCTCATTTATCTCATTCTCTCTCCCTCTTTCCCCTCCTGCTCTCAATGTTCATTCTTACTCCTCTTTTCCTCTTCTTCACCCTCTCCCTTCCTTCACCTTTCTGCTCTCTCCTCTTCCTTTCTTCCACTTTTCTCTCCCTCTCTTCATCCCTCTTCCTCTCCCTTCCCTCTTGCTTTCCCTTTCTCATTTCTCATCCTTCCTTTCCCTCTCTCTCCTTCACCCTTCTCCATTCTCTTCCCTCCCCTCTCTCCTCACCCTTCTCCTCCTCTTCCTCTCGCCCTCTACCCTCTCCTTTCTCCTCTCTCCTCTCCCTTCCCCTCTTCCCCTTCACCTTTCTACTCTATTTCCTTCTTACAACGAAAATCAAATAAATACTGAACACTGCACACACACCTCACGCGCACGTAACCGCAAGCTGATATATATTCTTTTCTTTTCCTCCCCCCTCTTTCTTCTTCTTCTTTTCCTCCTCCTCCTTCTTCTTCTTCTTTCTTTTCTCCTTTCCTTCTTCTTCTTTTCCTCCTCTTTTCTCTCTTTCTTCCTCCTCTCCTCCTCCTTCCCCTTCTTCTTCTTCTTCTTCTTCTTCTTCTTCTTCTTCTTCTTCTTCTTCTTCTTCTTCTTCTTCTTCTTCTTCTTCTTCTTCTTCTTCTTCTTCTTCTTCCTTTCTTCATTCTTCTTCTCCTTCTCTGCCCTATTCTTTTTTACATTCTCTTTCTTAATATTCTTTTTTTTTCCCTTTTTCTTTTTTCCTGTTTTTTCCCACAAACAATTCTTCTAAAGTGAGACAAAATAAGTTTGTTTTTCTAGTACGAGATAAATAAAAATCGACCCTATTTCCTAACGTTCGAAGGACCATTCTTGACCATCTGCAAAAGATCCTAAGTCGATATACACCCTCTTGTCTGGATTTTATCAGAAAGATGGATGGATGAATGGATGGATGAATAGATGGATGGATAGATTGATAATGGATGGATGGTAGGTGAATGATGAATGGATGGATGGTATGCGGATGGATGGATGGGTAGGGCATGGTGGATGGATGGATGGATGATAGATAGACTGATAGATGGATGATGGAATAGGTGGATGGATTGAGTGATAGACTGATAGATGGATGGATGGATGGGTACTGGATGGATGGATGGAAGATGGATGATAAATAGATACATAGATAGATAGATGGACAGATAGAGATGGGTGATAGATGATGAATGGATGACATGAATAGACAGACCTACAACGAAAGAAGGACGGATGGACAGACAAGGGGACAGACAGACTGAGAAGAGACGCGACCAGAACAAACGGAACAGAATAGATGGACAGACGAACAGGAAAAGACAGACAGAACCGACGGCAGAAGACAATAATAAAAATACTATACTAATAATAATAAACGAATTATAATAGCAACATTAACAACAACGCTAATTAATT